GGGCATGAAAAGCGCGCGACCAAATTAACCCACTCCTTGTTTTGTACATTACCTTCACTTGAAGCTTGATTTGTTTTGATAGTATCATCAATTAGGCCGACGTCATACTTTGCGATTCGATTAGCGATTCGCTCGATTCGCTAGCGATTCGCCAGCGATTCGCTAATCGAATCGCAAAGTATGACGTCGGCCTTGAGCAACCAATTAAAATGGTCGAGATGCCAGCACTAGTCTCCACCCATTTGTTCGTTATCAGACAGGAATCAGTTGAAAATGCCGCATCAACACTTTTGAAAGAAAATTCTCAGCGTGGTAAATGGGAAGGGTGGTATATTCTTCGATATAGGTCCTATTTGGTCTCTTGAGAGAAGGAATTATACAGAATGTAATTTGTATTGCATTATATTTTCGATGGGGAACAAAATTTATTTAAGACGTAGGGTTTTTGGGCATACTTATAAACTACTACTGAAAAAAAATTCTTATCAAATTCTGTTCCACTGAAACATTGACAATTCCGCAAAAATTAGCGAAATTGTTGCGGTTTCTATTAAAGGACGAATTCACGATTAGAATGAAGGTCGAAGAAAGGAGTAATTCACCTAGTTGAGGGACCCGCGGACCTCCTGAGGGTGCGAACTGACGCGCAATTGGCACCGAAAGGAGTTGACCTCGGCGACCTATTAAGGCTCAATCTTGGCGCGGTGGGCCAGTGCACGCCCACCGATCGCCGCAGGTCTATACGTGGCGAGTGATTAGATAGGAGCGTAGTGTTGAAGAGGGCACAGCGATGATGCGCAAATCAAGCGGGGTCCCATTTCTCGGGTTCTGGGCCGTTTCTCATGGTTTTTCCTTCTTTCGTGTACCACTCACCATCCCTAAGTTAATTTGAAATGGGTTGCCTTTCCAGCGTGAATTCGTCCTTTAAAGTAATACAAATTCATCTCTCGTGATCCACGAACATTTTTATTCAGTGTCGGCTATGGTTCCAGGTAAGGTGGCATTAAAACCAGGAGTAGGCGAGTTGTGAGACTATAACTGGGAATCGTACTCCCCTTGAAGGGGATGGCGCTATGTGTCTGGTGGGAGTTATAATAGGTAAATTTCGTCATGTGTTGGCTGGCGTACGGGACTTCGCTGGTCCCAAGTAATTCGTTCTGATCGAATTAAACAAACGCGAGAGAGAGAGAGACCGTAGTCCCGTATCTCATGAAACGCTCCTCCTAGTTCGGCGTTTTTGGCTTTATGGCTGTCGCGCTGCTGACCAGGTGGCTTCGGTGCCCATGCACGTGTTTGATTAAGTAGGAGCGTTGCCCATGAAAAAAAGTCCGATTTAGGATGCTGATGGAAGAGAAAGCACTAGCCATCCGATTTCAGGTGACGTATGCTCTTTCACTACTAGATGCTTTACTTTATACGCATTATATCTCAGTAATTGTCTTGGAACTGCGACGTCTGCGTCAAGAATATATTGTAACTATTGTTCGAGATCCTGATGGAGAATCGAAAACGATGTCAATCGGTTTGTTCTGCTTACATATTATTTATACATTTCAACTCTAAAACATTACAGCATGCATCTTTTACTTTCATTACGTTCTATTCCGAAGATAGCGGAAGTGGTGTAGCGGTATGAAGCGCCGTTACCTTACGCGCGGTGCAGATATCAAATCGAGGACCGTACAAAGTCTGGCCAACCAAGCCTTCCATCCCTCCGGGGTCGGTTAATTGGTACCAGACTTGTCTGGGAGGATAAAAACACTGACTTGTACATCGGCTGGCCCCCGCAAGTCATTGTATAGGCCACATCGCATTCAAATGCCACTACGAATGTACAAATGGAAGTAGAATGCGTGCCGCATCCCAAAATGGGATTGATCAGCTCGGAATCCTTCAACCTTATCAGTTCAAGACAAGTGCTTTGCTGCTTAGCTGCGCAGCCTGCTCTTACATAAGTGCTATCCTTCTCAGGTTCAGTCTCTCAAATGGGTGCTATAATAGGAAAGTGGGCATGCAGTCGCGAAGTGGTCGTCTAGCCCATCTAGAAACAAATTCATTCTTTGATGTTCTCTGAGATATATTTAATTACCATCCCAACCATGAATTCCTCCCGCGTGATTGATCTGGCTGGCTGCACCTGTTCACCAGTCGCGCAACTTACCAAATGGACAAAGCGGATTCTGTAGTTGACCTTGACGTAACGATGTTTGCCTCACAATTGCTCATCTAATGTGAAACCTGTAATGTGATAGAAATTTGCACTGTTACTGTCCCAAATTTACCACCAAATTTTTTAAGGTATGATGTCTCTGCAAGAGGCGGCCATTCAAGTTCTACGCTTTCACGAGACCCATTTTCCATCTTATAACGTATTCCTTGACAGGGTATGTTTGCTTTTGCTTCCTACCCTTTTTGGGTTGTCTAATTCTTTCTTATTTTTTCTTGATAGAATCACAAATGGTGTAAGAGCAAAGCGAGTTTGTAGCGGACTGGCGCTGTCGTCCGTTGTCCGGGAATAAAATTCTCCTTCGAATCTCGTTCAGGCGAACCATGCCTACCATTTCCTCATAAGTATTAGATTCTTCGTTCCATAGCTATTGGCAGGCTGAAAACACTGAGTTGTGTATCGCTTGGCCCTCCACAACTCATTGTTTAGGCGACATCGTGTTCAAGTGCCCCCTACGATTCTGAATGAAAGTACAATGCAGGGCGCATTCAAGGGACAGATAAAAACAGAAAGTCCCTTATTCTTTATGTACTAATACTACAGGTCGTTTAGGCACGTCAATCAAGTCACCGTCTACGAAACACTTCACAACCTCCAGGATTTAAAATGTATGATATTGAAGGGATAGGGGGTGGAACGACGGAAATCAGCCAGGTATTTTGTGGGTTCCCTTTGTTTAGCACCAATACTGTTTATTTATATTTTAGAGTAATTTACGCGCTCTAATGGAGGCAACCTCCAGGCGGCGCAATACCAACCACAACGATATTCTTCAGGAGGAATGCGAATGGGAAAGGAGGATAAAGAAAAGGAAGTGGGTAACCTAAGTAGTAGACTTTATAAGGAGAAACCCTTACAAGTACTTGTTCAGGTATCGCCTAATTGCTTCAGCAGAAGAGGCATTCGCTCAAGTACAAAGTATCGTCGATAACCAGGCTGGGAATAAGGTAGTTGTTGTAACTCACATCGTGATATCACAAAGGACATATGGTCTTTGTTGCGGTGGCTTCGGCTGGCGGGGGCTCGACAGGAGCCCCGTCGCGCGGCGACAAGACAGAGACGCAAACGGGTGGCGGACGAGTCGCAGTGCGCATGGTGAACGTACATTCTATTCATCTTGACAATCGCTACAATGCATGTGACTCGTGCGCTGTCGCGTTTAGGTCTCTGTCTTTTCGCCGCGCGACAGGCCTCCAGTCGGGTACCCCCTGTAGGACAGCTAAGCTGCGCGTCGAATTTTAAACGTTGCGATAATGAGATCATCATTTCCACAGTAATTGGTTTGACTACTTAAGGCGGCAATCTCAAAATCGTAGGGATTATCGTTTCATCACTGAATAAGTCGCACAAAGGGTTCAGTTGTTCCCAAGTGGATTACCTCTCTCGAAAGACAGTTTCTTCGGGAGTATCCTCCTGGAAAAGCCATGCTTATATCTCGCCTCTAAAGCACTATCTTGAAATCCATCGTCCACAATGAGAGCGAAAGGAACATAAAATTGCGTTTGTTTTGGAAACAAGTTCGAAAAATGTCTGTCTGGCGAACTGCCGGCGACTTTTGAGATCAGTGATGGTGTCAATGCTGGGAAAGGTGAGAGTGCTTTTGAGATCTTTGTTGGAGTCGTTGCTGGATACCACATTCGAAACGGGCGATCTTCGTTCACCTGCAAACCTCGTGTTATGAGCAGAAGACACTGACAGATTG